AAACCCTGGGTACTCTGGCCTGCTAGAGAGCATGTAGGAAAGGATCCACCAGATGACTAGGGAAGCTCAATCAAGCCTGAGAGGGTTAGGATTACAGAAGGGACCTTTGGACAGGAGAAGAAGGAGTCAGCATCTGACGAGAAAAAGAAGAGCATTTCTTATCACTCTATATTCTTCCTTTTGTCAATCCCTGGACACTTCTACCTCTACCACCCCTACCCAAAATAAAATTTAAGCCTTAGTAAATGACGTTATCCCTCCTTCACAAAGAAATTGAATGCTATCAGACAAGACTTTCTCATACCTTCAAACCACTGAACTTTGAGTACTACTTGAATAGGAAAGAGTTCATAAACTTAGCTGCACATCAGAATCAGGAGAATTTTTGTTTTATTTTGTTTTGTAATTTTATTACTGCTACTCTGGGCATGCTACAGACCTATTAAATCAGAATTTGTGGTGGTGGGCTGACTCCCCAGATAGTTCTACCATGCAATCCTAGTTAAGAACCCTATGTTCAGAAAAAGTCTTCCCCCAAACAAGGAACTTTACCCACAGTCCTCAAAGGCACATGAATTCCATTAAATAATACACAAAAAAGGTTATGTGCAACTGGGAGGAAGCCATACTCTTCAACGAATGCCTCAAATATTCATAGCTGACTCTCTTAAAATTAAACTCATGAAGAAAGCTGATTCTTATACAGATCTGGACACAGATTCTTATCACACCCACACCCTTCAAAAGGTTTCAAAATGCCTTGCATTTGCCCACTGAGGATCCTGTGGAACTATTTGCATTAACATACAGAGAGCTTCAAGGTCTGAAACTTTTATCCTTACATATTCACTCAAATTAATGAACATTATTGTCATGTTAGCAAGAGTCACTTCAAGTTGGCTAGCTTCGTACTTTCTCATATCCTAAAGTAATAGCTATTCTAAATGAGCAGGGAGGAGAGTAGAAAGAACTTGTCCTAATAGAGGTCCATGGAGAAGGTTTTTAATAAATAGTACACCAGGAATCTGATAGATTGGCTAAGTGAAAAGAAATTAGAATAGACAAATAATATGCAATAATTGTAACTACAATTTGGTTGTGAAATGAAGAAATGGACAGAAAAGCTGGGTACCGATGGCTCACACTTGTATTCCCAGTTATTCAAGATATCTGAAGATCATAATTTGAAGCTAACCCAGGGAGACTCTTATCTCCAGTTAACTAGCAAAAAGCTGGAAGTAGAGATGTGACTCAAGTGGTAGAGCACCAACACAAAAGGAAAGAAAAATAGAAATGGATATTTCTTCCCCTATATTTACCCTTATAGAGGTATGAAATCATCGACTAGGAACTAATATACTTTATGCCCCTAGGGGCAGTTTGTTTGTTTTTTTAATCCAATTTTTTTGTGAGAATACCGTACAAAGGAGTTACAATTACATGGGCAAGATAACGAGTACATTTCTTATCAAGCGTTGTTGCTAGAAGTTTTGAACACTATAAAATGCAAAGATCTTAGAGCCAGACAGAATATGTTCCAATCCCAGCTCTGCCATTTGCTCATTTGGTGATCCTGAACAACTCAGTTAATGCCTTTAAGTTCAAGTGTCTTATCTGTAAAATAGCAACAACCTATCCCAAAAGGTTAGTACAAGAACTAAGTTAAATAACTTATTTAAAGAATGTATTGCAGGGCTGGGAAGGTGGCTCAGTGGTAGAGCGCTTGCCTTGCATACATGAGGCCCTGGGTTCCATTCCTCAGCACCACATAAGCAAAAAGAAAAAAGCCAGAAGTGGCGCTGTGGCTCAAGTGATATAGCGCTAGCCTTGAGCTGAAGAGCTGAGGGACAGTGCCCAGGCCCAGAGTTCAGGCCCCATGACCGAACCCCCCCCCCCAAAAAAAAGAATGTATTCCAGTGCTTTAAGCAATGAGGGACTGAATAAATGGCTTGGCTGTTGCAAGTCAAACAGGGTTTTTCTGAAAAACTACTCTAAAAATGTAAGTAGGTTTCTATAGGAAATTTCCCCTTCTACGTGAATGGGTTAGTTATGAACAGTTAGGGGTAGTTTTGATTTTTCCTATGCAAACATTTCAGTTCTTGCTTTAAAATTTCAACTTGGATTAGCCTTAAACTCATGAGCCTTCTCTCTCTGCCTCCCACTGTTGGGATTGCAGGTTTGCATGCCTCACCTTCGCCTTACTTTTTTTTTTTTCCAGTTGTGGGGTTTGAACTCTGGAACTGGGCGCTGTCAGTGAGCTTTTCAGCTCAAGACTAGCACTCTACCACTTGAGCCACAGTGCCACTTCCAGTTTTCTGGTGGTTAATTGGAGATGAGAGTCTCATGGACTTTCCTGCCCAGGCTGGCTTTGAAACAGATCTCAGCTACCTGAGTAGCTAGGATTATAACTGCCAACCTTTTTTAAAATTAATCTGTTCAGCTGCTACTTAATATCACAACTAGCATAAACTTCTTCCTAATATGAGAATTTCTTAGAAACAGGGAATGACTACTCATGGAGTACCCACTCATTGAACAATACCATGGCAATTTGACATAAACAATGCAGTGATACATTTGCAGCCCTCATGGGGTTTAACTCCTTGGTGGAAAAAGGGAGATGTGTGCCAAGAACCTGCACTTATAAAGGGCTCCATGTTAGATCGCCAATGCTATGTAAAATCGACCAAATGTGTATGAGAGCCAAAATAAATTTAGAAGGATATGAACAGAACCCATGGAAAGGTTCATAATTGGAGTATGTTGGATTTTAATCCAAAACATGAAGATAAAAGGTGGAATGTCATAGTATGCATCAGGGCTTATACTGAACAGGAAGAAATCACGAGCAGGCCTGTAGGGAATAAGGAAGCTAAGGTTGGAATGCTACTGAATAATTATTTTTTTCAGAGCTCTGGAAGATAATTAAGGAAGTGTAGACTTTATGCAAAAAGCAAAAAAAAAAAAAAACTGTTACTGATTCTAGAGTCAAAACCTATGTAACACAAGAAAATACAGTGGAAGGAAGTCATTCCAGCCAGATGTTGTGGGTAAGTGGCAACTGAAGCAATTTCATTAGCACATATGAGACCTATTGTAGGTCTGTATTATTGTGTCTTTAGAGATAGCCAGTAAAAATACAAATGGTATGTGATACATGCAAATAATATTTCATGAACGTCATCTGGGATGTTTGAATAACATATATCTGAATATATTTAACAATTCCAAGTTATCCTAAACTATAGTTTAGCTCATCTTTAGACAGTCAGTAGAACACATTTTATGAACTTTAAGCATCAAGGGATATAGTAAATGTTTCCTGTCTACTTAGGAGTGTGTGTTTTTCATTATTTTACTTTATTTTTCCATTTTGAAAATATGTTCTTAAAGGGGGAGTAGAAGATAATTTTTCATTGTAGCATATTTGCTTCACCAGAAAAAAAAAAAAAACCAAACATGACTCTAATTGCACAGGGATAGGAAAGATGCATGAATACCGTTCCTTGACAAGATCCAGGGCTTTTACAGTAAGTTTAGATTTGGGGGTAGATTTTAAGCTCTTGTCCATCAAGATGTCATAATGGATGAATGTGCCACTTGTTTAATGACATTTGAGCACATTTAGAAAGAGCATGGGAGTCTTTGCAATGCTCTGGAAGTTTAAATTTTTAAAGCTGTTTTCTTGTAGGTAAGAAACAATGCCTACTCAAAATAAGTTGGCAACTCCATGTTTCGAACCCCGTGTTGTTACTGTAATGTTCAGGAATGGTTAAGGAAAGAAGGAGAACCTCAAGGTCACAGGAAATCATCTTTGGAGTATTCTTGTGGAGCTTATCTGTACTCACATGCCTAATTTTTTTTTTTCCAAGAGCAAAGAATGGCCACTTGCTTGAGACAGGCCCAGTGCCATCCTTTATTCAAGTTCCTTTATACTCCTTTTTTTAAAGAAGCTGTCAAGTTCCTTTTTTGCAGCTGACAGGAAAGGCCAAATCTGTGGTACAGGAAAGGAGGCACTAAAAGAAACTTTTTTGTGTTGATGTTTTACTAAGTGAGCTAAGGAGAATTTTAGAATCATGTAATTTACTCTGAAGGCATTTACTGTACATAGCTATAGTGATGGTAATTTCTTTCATTGTTGAAGTGAAAAGATAACCATCAATCAGTTGTCAATTGGTCAATTGCAGAAGTAGTGAATAGAAACTGGTAGGAACAATCACTTCTGGGGCTACCTAGACCATTTGGAGGCTTAAGAAAAGTATGGGAACTGGATTGCATTTTTTAAAGGGATTGGACTAGATTTTGAAAAAGGTTAATAAGCATAACTTCCTAGTAAAGAATGGCTTTACACTGATATATAATCAATGCATTTTAAAAATTAAAAAAAAACTTAAAACATGGACAGAAGTGAAAATTCTTTTTTTTAAGTCAGGTAACAGGTAAATGAGCTCTCCCACCTGAAAAATTAATGTGTTCTTGATAGAGGAATAAATACAATTTATAGATTACCCAACCTAGGTCTTTAAAAATACATCAATAAAAATACTTTATATTCAAGCTTTACCTGCAATCTTGAAATAAATAACTTTACAAGTATTTACCATAAGGCATAAGAAGGGTAAGTTCATTCTGGGCATTATTTTTAGGCAAACATCTCCAAATATTTTATTTTTTAGAAGCCTAGCAAAGCCCCTATAAAAGTTAAGAATAAATTTAAAAATCATTAAGTAGCATAAAGGCAAATGGCACTAAGGGACTTAGCACTGTAAAGCAAGATTTCATTTTAATTTATCCTGTTTTCCTAAGAATGGTGGTGTTATGGATTTATTGTGTGACAGTCCCCCCCCCACCATCACACTTGCACACAGAGATTTTTTTTTTTTTTGCTGTGGTAGGTAATAAAAAGGATTACAGGCCCCCAGAAGGATGAGATATCATCAGTTTGTAATCCAGCCCATGGTTTCCTAGATACCGTATTGTCTATTCTGTTCCGCTATGTGAAAAATGTTGAATATCAACAATGGGTTTCAGTGCTGTATTGTTGAGTTTTGTATGAACTAATCTAGCTTCACTAAAAAAAAGAAAAAGAAAAAAAAAGAAAAAGGAAAAAAAAGAGAGAAAAGAAAGAGGGAAGAAAAAAAGAAAAGGAAAAAAACCACAGCTTTGGACAAAAGTCTACACAGCCAGTGCATCTGAAACTCCCCTTTGCACAGGCTGACTGTAGCTGGGAGAAGACATTTTACTCATTTGCTCTCTCCCTTCATGTGGTCAGCTGGCCCCTCTTCTCAGGTGTAGATCACCTATTATAATTTCACCTAATTTTGATCCTCTGATGGGGAAATCCCCGAACTAATCAACTGAGATAGGCCTTACTTCCAAGGCAGCCCTGTGCAGTGTGTGCAAGGTAAGCTATTTTGCCCAACTTCTCTGCTGTAGTATATTGGCCTAGCTCTCAAACTTTGCAACATATCACTTATGTTTAACTTTCACTTTTTTCTCTCTCTCTTTTTTCTTCTTTTGGAGAAAGCAAGCCTGACAGGTTTCTCCAGGAAAGTGGCCATCCATGGAATGAATGAAATGTTCTCTTTCTATTCCAGTAAGTAATTGACTTGTAACTAAAAATTGAACTGGCTGCAGTGTCAGCTGGGCTGTGGACTACTGCTGGCACAGGTGTTGCTTACTCGTTAGCCTGGAAAGAAAAGGGGCTTAACCTGTGATTAAATTTCAAGTCAATTGACCTCAACATGATAGTACATAATTCTCACTTGCCTACCGAATGGCTCTAGTTCTTAGGTTTGTTGGATTTGGTGTTGGTGTTTTTTTGGTTTTTTTTTTTCTTTGACCCTGATGTTTGGCACATAGATTTTTAATGTTTGTTTGGTGGCGCTACAGCTAGGATTGCTCTTTTAGTTCAGAAATAAAGTAGGTGGAGAATAGTTCAAAATAAATAACAAATGATGCGATTAGCCAGCTAAGTCTCTGATAAAGTGCTGTGTGTGTGTTTAATGCATTCATTCTGAGTTCATGTTATTATTAATGTACAGGTTTTAATGTATAGATCCTGGACAACAATTTTATTAACAGCTAAGGATAAAAAAAAGTAAATCTGAATCAGTAAATTACACATAATAAAAACATGAAAAATATTATTTTAAATATATTTCAGTGCTTAATTTTGATCATACAACATTTGACAGGCTCGGTAAATTTTGCACTTGGATGATTTTTTCAGCTCTGGAATGAACTAATAGCTTTGCACATCCCAGTTGCTGGAAACAGTGAAAGATTATTTAAGTTAAGCAAGATGTCCCTTTTTGAGTTTGGAGACCTCTATCTGCTTCTCAAAAGCATACTAAAAATCATGACATGTAATATTACCATGTACACAGAAGCATTCTCCATTCGTTTGATGTGAAATGGTTGTAAGCTGTGAATCATGTGTAAGATAAGAGCAGCTAGAGATTGTGGTTGGTTCTTCCTAACTTTTTTTTTTTTTTAAACCTGGGAATTAGCAGAACATGCTGATGCTGCTTGCTTAGTCCTGCTTTTAGTGCCAGGCTGTGACTAGCACTCTGTGAAACCATTTCTGACCCTCTGCTTGCAGTGGTGAGCTTGAATATTTTTTTCCCCTTCCTTACCCATCGCTGTCAGTCAATTATAGGATTGAACTGAACCAGAAAATCTGGTACAGTCTGGTAATTAGTACAAAGGGTTTCCAGTCTAGTGTAAAGACAGAGATGCAAGCGCCCCAGCAGTCACAGAAATCGTTTTGATTGGCCATGGACATTGCCTTTTAGTGCTGCTTGGTGACTTCCTAAAGATATTGCCTCCTACCCTACAGGTCTTCTTCAAGTACATTATGGGCCTTTTTTTTTTTTTAAGTAGTGTGTGTGTGTGTGTGTGTGTGTGTGTGTGTGTGTGTGCGTGCGCGCGCTTCTTTTTTTAGATCCAACTTCTCCCATTTTTAGTCTGTCATTTTTGCCTATCAAACAGACACATTTTGACTTGCCCAACAAAGAACCAAGTTATCAACACTCACAGAAACTGACATTTTTAATTCAGGCTTCATTATGTCTTTGAATTATGACAGTGAAGTACAAAGACATTTTAAGGGTTTTTTCATTATTTTTTAATTCAGCATTGGGATGTTTATCTTTCTTTAGTATTCGTATTTGCCTTTCTACCTTTATTCTCAGTAATATATAATTAGCATTATCAAAACCATCAGCTATTATCCTTCCTGATTTTGGGCCCTTATTTTATTTTTTACTATGTCTCAAGCTGGCATTCTCTAAAATAAGAAAAAAAATCCATAAGATATCTATGAAATATTTTATAATTACTAAAACAATGAAACATTTTTAAATTAAATTTTGAACATCAATATAACATGAATAGGCAAATAATGAGTCTCAGAGTAAAACAATAACAACAAAATTAACTTCCTGAAAAATTATTTGGTAAACTTACATTTGCTGCTACATGCAGTTTTACTGTGTGTATTTATTTCATCATACATTTGTAACCAGTCTCTCAAGGTTCAGGCTTATTATCAATGCTATTTGGGGATAACAATTTTACATAAGCAAACATCCCCTTTGATTATAGATCACAGTGACTCAATCATATATCAGATAAAGTGAAAGGATCCGGAACCTTTTTCATAAAACAAAGGCCCATTCCCAAAAGGGGGATATATGAATAAGGAAAAGCAAGTTTAACGTCTAACTTGGTTCAGAATTGCAAAAACATAAGAGTCCAAACTAATAGACTCAAAAGAAAGCACAAGAAATCATTTCCAAGATTTCTATCTTCAGAGCAATCTACATCATGATTTAGTTGGGGTGCATGTGCATTGGGAATCTCCTAAAGGACTCTATGTTTACCCACGCATTAACATAGCTCTAAGTATCTGTCTTATCCTAGGTGGAATCTTAACAAAAACAGTAATAATATTATGTCTAGTACTAATTTTTACCATGTCTGACTTTGCTGCAAAATTTGAAGGAGGTTAATATTGCTTTTGTAAACCCTGTCATGAGTATTGTATTTTGCCAGTAAATATGTCATAATTTCAAAGCTGTTCAAGAAACTGTATTTCTGTTGAAATCGTTTTGTACTCATTTCTCCATTGTTTGTGAACCATAATATAATGTAGTGCTTTCAAGAGAATAAACATATTTGTGTAATTAGCACTTTTAACAACTCCTTGCCCGTAAAAAAAAAAGGTCTATATTAAATAGACAACTTTTCCAGGATAATATTTTCATTTGCCATCAATTTTTAAATAATTTTTCTATAGTTGTACAAAATGGTTAAGCTTTTTTTTAATCATCAAGTTTATGTGTGGAAATGTATCTATAAAGGGCCCAAGGAAACTGTATGTTTTGGAACTATTTACCTCATCTGATTTTTAAATGCTAAGTATGTGTTGAAATTAGAAAGATGCTTGTCACATGTGGTTCAAGTGCTCTGTATTCTCTTATAGCTGAAGGTCATGTGGGTCATGTGGGTCTGTGACAATTATGAGTCTTTAATATGGACACAAATAGTCTTTTCGTGTGTGTGTGTGTGTGTGTGTGTGTGTGTGTGTGTGTGCCAGTACTGGGGCTTTAACTCAGTGCCTGGCCACTGTCTCTTGGCTTTTTGCTTTTTTGCCTAAGGATGGCACTCTATCAATTGAGCTACAGCTCCACTTCTGGATTTTGGGTGGTTTAATTACAATGCCTTGTGGACTTTCCTGCCAGGGCTGGCTTTGAACTATGATCCCTCTCTTGAGTAGCTAAGATTGTAAGCGTGAGCCACCAGTGCCCTGCTAATCTTTTCTATTTTAATATTATTCACAGAAGCAAGAATAAAACTATGAAATAACAGTAAAGATTGGTTTTCAGACTAAGTTTCTTTGGAGACATTCAAGTCTGTGAAGGAAGAGAGTCCCAGAGTCTGTCTCTACCCGCCCCCTCTCAACACCTCTTCTGTATATGCTAGTGCTTCATGTTAGATTTATTGATGGGAATCCTTGCTGAAGGGAGAAAGGTGAGAAATTGACCAAGATCATCTTATAGATGAGGAGAGTAGCATGTGCCCAGGTCACACACTGTCCATGACAATGCAATTGCTGTTAACCTCTCTTTACTATACATATGCAGGAAAAGAACCCAACCCCTGTGCCCAAAATCAGGGTGCTTACTCAACATGCCTAGGTGGTAATGTCGTTGGTTTCAGAAATACTCTGAGTTCTGGGTGCATTATTGCAATTACAAAAGTAAAATATGATTGATCTAGTTTCTCAACAAAGTAATTTTTTTGAAGTTTTAAAATTGTGGTTTAAAAAAAGGCTGCAGCACATAAAAGTTACCATCTTAATCATTTTTAAATGCATACTCCATTCACGTTAACTGACAAGCACTTTTCTCACAGTGGAAATTTTTAATTAAAACTTAAGTCCAAAAGTAAGAAAACTAAAAAATAATCTGAAGTTAGATGCTATTTTTACCAAAGTATTATTTGGAATCTATTTCGATAGCCTATAAAAAGACAAAAGGTTAACATGGTCAAATAATTTTAGAAAATATAGCATATTAGGAAATTTCTCCAGGAAATTCATAATAAAAATTTGTATTTGCAAAACACTAGAAAATCAAGAAAATGTAACAGTACTTTTCCAAAGAAAACTACTTTTCCTACACAAAAAATAGAAATCTACCCAAACTACAGGTCACCTAAAAAAGAAAAAAATAATTGTTTTTCAAGGCTAGTATTTGTTGAATCCAACTGAAATAATTTTTCTGAAACTGAAATTTTACAAATTAAAATCAAACTAAACCTTCAAAATAATCATTGTGTTATTTATGTCAGCTGGCTCTCTGTTTAGTGAATCTTTATCTTCGCCTTAAATAGCTTTAATTCCATTTAGGCAGTGTTAAGTACTGAGAATACAGAAATGAGCAGAACCTCTCCCCTTATGATCCAGAAAAGACAGAGATGTCACTGTGAATGCTGGAGATAGAAAAAAGAGAAGAGAAAGGACAGAGGGAGAAAGAGACAGAGAGAGAGAGAGAGAAGCAAAGAATGGAGGGAGAGTAGAGACAAGGAGGAAGGAGAAAAGACAAGTAATACTAACTTTTTGACATTTGTATATTTATCTGACTATGCTTGTGTTTTTCATAATTCTAAAATGAGAAAAGAATGAGGTAATGGCAGGGGAACACTGTTCACTTGTCCAGAAGTTTGCAGTCTGGTCTTTGAAGACAGGCTATTATTTTTTTCCTATGTATGCACCAAAATTAGGTCTATGGAAGTTCCCCAGTAATTCAACAAGGCCTGTACTGTTGAGAGGGTAGGGAGCTTAGAAAGGAAGGTAAAGGAAGAACAGAAAGGAAGAGGGAAAATAGAACATGCTTCCTAGTGCCTTCTTCTATGTGACTCCTTAGCTCTTGATACTACCTTCCAGATAAGCAGAGCCTTTTCAAGGGCTGGCAGAAGACTTTATTTGCTCAGGGGACTTGTCTCTTCCCTCATTTAAAGAGAGTCTGTAAGTCAGGTTTAACTCTTGGTGGTAACCTGGATCCCCTCTCTGGCAGGAAATATTTTCTC